GCCACCCGCAAGTGTAATGTGTGTTCTCGCATGGGTCACCAATCAGAGTCACCATCATGTCACGATCTGCCCTGAATCGGTCCCTTTAGTCCTTCGCCGAACGCGAAGGACTAAAGGGACCGTCACTTAATTTTTGCCGACTACCCGCCAAAAAAATCTTTTCGTTTCACGTGTCAGGCACGTCCGCGAGCGCGTACGACTCGCGCTCGCCCGCGTTACCTTTCACGTCAAGCCTATGTAACTTACTGCATAGGGTGCAAGGTGACCGTTGTCGGTTTACATGTACTCCAGTTATTACACCGTGCATGCACTGAGTCTGTGCTGCACTGTGCATCCATAGGTGTTCGTTTGCGGTAGCGCAAGGTGACACGTAAGGTTGATGTATTGTTTTGTCCGCTGCTATTCGAAGCTCTCGGAGTCGGAAGCGTTACCTCTGTTTCCCCTGTTCCTCCCTGCGCGGAGTCTGTAGTTCTGGCTTGCAGTCGCTGTTACATGCATGTTGGCAGTTGCATGTGTTTTGGTTTTCAGTTGTCTTTATTTGTTTTGTGTGGACGACAGTTCAATATTCTAGCAGTTGTTGCACTTCCTACATTCCGTAGTCATTATGCGGTTGGTGTTCGAGAGAGCAAACTGTGTTCTTCTCCAGAGTGGAGTAAACCATTCGCTTGTGTCTGAGGAAAACCCTGTGTGTTGACGAAGAGGTTGACTTGGCTGTAGAGTGAAAGTACCACATGGTCACATGGTCCACAAAATCTTAGAACTAACTTAGGGTCTTCTGGCGTATGGTATAATTATATGAGCAGCATGAGAGTGAAGTAAAAGACTATTAGCTCAAACATTCAGTCTTTCAAGAGTAGGTGTTTCATCACGGAATAGGTTCTGCAGTTCACTTACACAGCAACAATGGACCAGCAGTGTCCAGCATACAATAGAGTCATGTGAATATGTACCGTATGCATACTCACAGCTGCAAGGCCAGCGCCCCGTGGCTGCTTGACTTCTCAATCGATATAAATATTCACAACAGTAAGACTCTGTGATCAATCAGAGCTGTGCTTCGAAGTAGTCACAAAACTAAACTTGGCAACCAGTCACAGCTTCCACGGTGCCCCAAGACCAGTCACCAGAGATGACCGTAGTAAATCCGCAGGGAGTTTCATAATCTGTTCATTGCAGAGTCCACTATACTATGATTCAAGAGGGGGGTAGCGTTCCTGCGGATGCGGAAAACTTGGCTGGAACCCGAGTGTCACGTGAACCCTGATTTTTAAGACTTTTATTATTTGTTTTACGATGAGCCTATTATACGCGATACAGGCTCAGAACACACTTTTCGTCTATTTGGCATATCAGGGATATAGGGCGGAGCAGCCCATATCCCCAATTATGACACGCGAGTTATAGTGAAATACGATTGGCGTATTGTGCTGGACTGACTGCGGTAATGTAAAGCTAAAATCAAGCAGTCAGTTTGCCCTTAGCATGGCCTTGTCATGAGGGTGCCACATCCGTGGAAAGGCAACATGCCGGCTAATCTCCCTGAGAAGTTGAGTGGTTATCAGCAGGCGATGACGCTGTGTCGATGATGACCTGTTGATGCCCGACAGGAACCTTGCGAGGAGAGTCATTGGGCCCGACGGGTAGGTAAAGCCAACTTCCACCTGAAGTTTGCGGATGGCCGACATGTAGACATGGACAGATAGGGGCTGAAAAGTTCTGAACAACTCGGCAGCAAAATAACACATAAAGTAAAAAGTCATCACCTGGCAATGGATTCCAGTCATGCCCTTGACAGAACTGGAAGTAACGGGTATCGGCGGAAAAATATTTCCGGCTGGTGCCAGTGCTGCTAGCTGCAGCACGGAGTCCGGCAACTGAGAGTTGGCAAGACTGGCTGATCTGGCTCAGCTGCTGCTTCCGGAGCCCTCGATGGTTCAAACACCATCGGCGCAGGCCACGTTTTTCGGCACCACCGATTTGTTCGTCCACCAAAAGTCAAAACAAATGTTTCTCACTTGAACACTCCGTAGAGCTGCCGCTGTTGTGCCAAGGCCCATTGGCGCATGGTGTGTATACTCCAAATCTACATGTATGATGATGGGTCACTGCTGACGTTTCTGCTCTTGGACAGTGCAACGCCGCATGAAGATATGTTGTGGCTCCACAATCGCTGAGAACGCTAGTGTGCGTCCATGAAATACTAAAACACAATAGGTGCGGCGCAGCTAACGCCCACTTGGATGAATCGGAGTGGTGGCGAGTGCATTCTCCTTCCTCGGTGAACACTGCTGGTCACCCTGTTTGATGATCCACCAAACACCATCGGTGCAGGCCGCGTTTTTCGGAACCAGCCATTTATTCGTCCACCAACAATTGAAATTAATGTTTCTCACTTGAACACTCTGTAGAGCTGTCGCTGTCATGACAAGGCCGTGTATACTCCAAATCTACATGTAGGATGAAGAGTAACAGTTACTGCTGATAATGAAGTTTGCGCTCGTGGACAATACAACGCTGTGTGAAGTAAATTGTGGCTCCACAATCGCTCTGAATGCTAATGTGTGTCCATGGAATACTAAAACACAATAGGCGCGGTGCAGCTAACGCCCAACGTGGATGAAACGGACAACAGCAGCGGCTAGAGCGTTCTCCTTCCTCGGTGAACACTGCTACAAGACATTATGCTTGATGATTCACCAAACACCATCGTTGGGGGCCAAGTTTTCCGCCGCCAGCGAGTTGTTCGTCCACCAACTAACTTTGATGAGTCTGTCTTCAACACTTCGTAGAGCAGCCGCACAAGGCCTTTCCTTTGCGTTAGGGTAGCGATCCTTCCTAGATGATGTCGCTATTCATTGTTACTTTTTACTACAATGAGTAGTGTTTCTCCGAAAATAAAGTCAGCTGCCTGGGCATTAGCCTTTGGCATTAGTACTGCCTAGGCCTAGCGCCTAGCGCCTGGACTTGTAAAAAAATTGATTTTGCAAGTCTTCAATCATGTCTGCATGTACGCGCTATCCAATCCAGCCATGTGGCGTGAACAGATTGCTTGACGTGAAAGGTAGCGCGCGCGGCCGGGCGAGCGCGAGTCGTACGCGCTCGCGGACGTGTCTGGCACGTGAAACGAAAAGATTTTTTTGGCGGGTAGTCGGCAAAAATTAAGTGACGGTCCCTTTAGTAGCGAGGTCAGGCGAAAATTAAATTTTGGAAAACCCTATCGAATTGGGTATCTACGGAAAGCTTAGAGCTTCAGGCGTTCAAATCCAAAATTTGGGCTGGGTTAGAGCAACTGGAAGAGAGTTATGGACGTTGAAAGGAGCCCGACTACGTGATTTTTTTGTCGCGACGAATGTACGCGTGGGAGCTCGAAAAATGGCACCCGGCACTCGGGTCCCAAGTCGCGACGGAGAGTGCATGATGTAATCTCGCGTGTCACGTGCGTGTACTTCGCTATGCTAGCGGCTAGCGGCACCGCTGCGTGCAGCACTCGAGCCGAAAACTATTACTTTCTGAAGAGAAAATGTTTGTTCCTCTGCAGAGAAGGGAAATGTGCAATTGTCTTCAAGGATCGCCAGTGCATGTACTATTTGCTGTGAACCGGTGATGGTAAGATATTTGGGATCCAATGACGAGTTGGTGGCAACGGGAGCGGTGGCTGCTGTTGATGGATGATGTCGGAAGAAGCGCTTTCTCAAGACAAGTTTCTGCAGACGATCAGGAATTTGAAAACACAATTGTGCTCGAACGTATTGTTTGTTCTGGAGTAGTACAGTAGAGAGACTTTGTTAGAGACATGGTCTGTGTGAAAGTGAACGTTCCTCACTTTCTCTCTCACACCGGTTATGTTTGGCTGACAACTATTTGTAGTGTTGCCTTGATTGAGTAACACTGACAGCATTGGAAATTTGGAAATAGTTTCCATTTCTGAAATGATGCATACAATTGGACAAAACTTTGTAAGAAAGACATAGCTTTCCGAAACAGTACCTGGGACCGGGACTGAAGTAGCCATCTCCTTACCTTCATCACCAACAAGCTTCTGAATAGATACAAAATGCTGCACACCAGACGCAAGCGAAGTTTAATCGGATTGATGGCGATTCGCTTGCTTCTGTTGCTTTTTAGATTGGTGCACATGCCTTCCCAAAGCAATCCTCCTTGCTGGACAGTGACACCAGTCGGGAGCCATAACGTCGGTGCGCCTCTTGTTACGCCAATGAAACTTGGTAGTCCGAAGGATTAGGGGGCGCTGAACACGATGCAGCAACAACCTAAGGCGTAACAAGAGGCGCAAGGACCGAAACCCGCCCTCGAATATTGGCAAAAAGCGAGAGACAGCGCGTCGACAGAGAAACGTCTGGACGCCGCGCGAACGGGTGGAGGCATTGCTCCATATCCTTACCAAAGGACTAGAAACTTGAAATCGCCCAAAAAGAGCAAGGAGACTGCACAAGCGAAGTTCAAACGCAGGTCAGTTTTGATGCCTCCCGTAAAAATCGAAAAATCGAGTAAAAACCTATGTGCCATGACATCATCGATTTTCAATGGGCCGGGGATGGTCCAAGCGCGACAAGCGAAGTCCGTGAACTGGTCACGCGTCTGACCTCGCTACCTTTACTAATTTACTCCTTCGCGTTTCACGACTCCGTGGTCATGTACATGACATTAAATTTTACGTCACTGCGACACTGCCACTGGCACTGGCAGTGGAACTCAGTGCCAGTGGAAGCCGCTGCCACTGCCACTGGTCGCTATGACAGCCGTCGTCTTGTGAACCGTAGGCGCTAGCCGCGCGCTAGTCGCAGAAGAAGTGTTGCCATGGTGATCGTGCCAGTATCACTAGACTTCCTACACACCGCACGCATACCACTTACCTCTGCACCTGTGCAGTAGTGGCAGTGACTGTCACCACACTTGCAAGGTTGGCGCTGGCGCGTTTCAAAAGTGAGAACGAAGGCAACACATACACTAGTGACCCGGGTTACTCACCTACCTAGCATGCACCTCGCCCATTGCCCAGTCAAACTGAAAAACCAGGACAAGCGTCAACATGGTCAACTAGCTAACTAAAAATTCTTCCTTTACTTGAAGACCTCGTTACCCCCGGTTGCACACAGCAACAGAAGTTCGTGCAGTGCTGCTGCTGCTGGCGACCTAACCTTGTCTCGTTCCAGGTCTCTCCCTCAACCGTCGCCCTCCTGTTTTTGCCAGTTACTTTGCCCAAGAGCTGGCCGCCTGGAAAGAAGTCAGTCGGTGAGGGTGCGAATGCTGCCCGGGTATCGACTTTGTAGATGAATAAGTAAGCCATTTGGTTGAAGATTCAAATCCCGGCTGTGCTGAAGAAAGGGTCGAACCTTGTGGAGGCTTGTCCGTGACAAGCGAGCGCCGTCGCCCAAACTAGAAGACGTGATGGCTTCTGCACATCGGCAGGAGGAAATGGCTGCTTTACGTCGGACCGACGCCATTGCCGACGCCAAGATATACTTGATGACCAGGACGCCGGGAAGCGAGCTTTCGATGTGAGTACAGCTGTAGTGCAACTCTGTACGCAGCCACTGCTACTTCTACTGCTACTTCTATTCAGCGGCTGCATGCTCATGTAAATCTAGATGTAGGTGCAGTCTATACTGTACTACTATTACTGGTAAACACACTAGTCAGTGCAGGAGTATCGGTTGTGGGACTCACATAGTCATTGCATGTCTAGACCATAGCCGAGACCGGGTATTTACTGTCGTGGACATGGAAATCCGGTCGCACATCTAGCGGCCCCAGGGCGCTGGCCACGCAGCCGTAGCACGTGTTATTATGCTCTGCTAGCTGTTATGCGCTGCTAGCTGGTGGTCAAAGCATCGGATCAAGTAAAGTTTAGTTGCTTGATTGTGCACTGTATGCAACGACTTAAGTTCTGTACGCCCCGAGGGCACCGGCCCCGGTCAACCGACTGGATTTCCATGTCCGCTACAGTAGTACATGTACGGAGTATTGTCAGCTGGAGTTGTGTTGGCCTACGCACAGCTGCGAACAGTACTAGTGTTACTATTGGCCCCGAGTACTATTACACAATAGCGTGAATACTTTGTCACTTGCATGGTACAGTACTGGCGGGCACCAAACAACGGTGCGCCGACGTCCAACAGACTACAATTGTATAGGCTGATCTCACTAGGCACAGGATACCCATCTGTACATGGCGGCTCATTATTCAAAGAGAAATTTCTTACTTTCTTCTTGAGAAATTTCTACTTGAAATATAAGAATTAGCAGCCTGCAACTCTGAACCCCTATTCTTCGGCGCCAGGCAGTACTGCACTGATTGCATATGTTCCTTGTCTCGCGTTTACACATGAAAGCTGCGTAACCGTGATCAGCTCTAGGAAAGTGTTCCCAGACCAGACGCACATGACTCCAAGTTGTGCTGTGTGTCTGTGTGTGTGTCTGTGTGTGTGTGGTGTGTGTCACGGTGTACATGTCTGCTGACGAGTGTGCTGCGCGTGAATATGTCCATTTTTGTGTATGTGTGTGTGTATGTGTGTGTACGTGTGTGTACGTGTGTGGTTACATGTATGTGTGTGGATGAATACACATAGGTATGAGTTGATGACACGCGTACTGAAGACGGTGTTGGAATCCAAGCCAGAAAACCCAGTTGGTAAGGGACGGTGGACAGTGAACGTTGAAGACACCGCTCTTTCACTCAGCGTCGAAAAGACTGCAGATTCTCTGCTTTTCGTGTTTGCTTCCCCTAAGTAAAGTCATATGCGAGCGTGGAGCAGCTGGTCCTAAGTAAAGTCATACACTAACAGCGTGGAGCAGCTGATCTTCCCAAAGGGCACCAGGAACATGCATGCCTAGAGGTAACACCACACAGATCCACTGCTCGTGTCGTCATCCTGATACATGCCAATGAATGTTCTGTTATGTGTGTGTTCAACAATAGGTGTGTGTGTGTGTGTGTGTGTGTGTGTGTGTGTGTGTGTGTGTGTGTGTGTGTGTGTGCGTGTGTGTGTGTGTGTGTGTGTATGGATATGTGTGTGTATGGATGTGTGTGTGTGTGTATGTGTGTGTGTGTGTGTGTGTGTGTGTATGTGTGTGTGTGTGTGTGTGTGTGTGTGTGTGTGTGTGTGTGTGTGTGTGTGTGTGTGTAGAATTGGTGAATGATATCATCCAGCATGTGAAGAAGGGGTGGTATGTGCCCAAGCCAGACACACTCAAGGTAAGACGTGCAAAATAGACACAAGAAGCAGCCAGACATGCACGTAGCCTATGGGAGAGGCGCATGCACCACATGCGCCACTGTGCACTGCCCCAAAGGTTTTCAACTTTGGTTCAGCATGTCGATGTTTGGGCAGGGCACCATTGTCCGTTGTGAAGCCAGAATCGAGTTTGCAAAGACTACTTGAAGCAGTGTTACATCACCTATATGCATAGCTAGACTACAGGAGTAGACTTGACAGATTAAGATCATCACAGTGCCTGCACTGACAGGAGTAGAGTATGCAGTATACACACACACACAGTAAGATCATCACACTGCCTGCGCTGACTTCACTGCATGGGATGCTATGTCTCAATCACAGTCTACCAAGGGTCCCTCTCACGGTCATGCCATCTTGCCCCCCCCCCCCCCCCCGGCCATCACTTCAGTTTTGTCTCTGAAACTGTTTTAGCTTGTTTAGTCACTTTTGGAGAACAGGAAAACATCCAAAGCTCAATTGTCCCTGACTGGTAGTTGGCGTGGGATACAACAAAGTTGACTATGGAAATAAGTTCAAAAACTTGAAAAACAAAACCATTGTGTGTAAAGCGGTGAAGGCCCAGTGGTGTTGATCATCCATTATTAATTTTCTTCCCATCAACTGCGACACAAATTGACTTCGATGTAAATGCTTTCTTGGCACTGAACCATAGCAGTGCACTGTTTAATTCTACTATAAAGGATCCATCGTACAAGCGTATAATTAAAAAAATTGTTGAAGCCGTGGCAAGAATACATTTGGTGGTCTCATCGTGCACCTAGTAGTAGTAGTAGTAGTAGTAGTAGTAGTAGTAGTAGTAGAATTTATTATTATGATAGGGAAGGACCCTGCCACAAAGATCACATGGATGCAGAGAAAGGGATGTTTGGTCTTTTGGCCCACTTCATGTGCATCATGATCTTCTCGCCTCCCATCCGGTTAGGAGTTGTATTCATGGAGTCGTATTTTTACGACTCCTGGTTGTATGTGTACCTTGATCTGTGAGTCAGTGGTGTTGGTATGGATACAGAGGCTTTCTCAATGACTCTGGTGTAAACAGAGAGTTTTACTTCGAAAAAAGTATTATGCACATTGGAAGGAGCCAGGGCTGGGAAGCTGACCTTGTTGTTCACAGCTGCATTGATTGCGGTACAATGGTACAATGGCAAACACTGTGTTCTTTTCCTGTGTTGTTGTGCTTGACAGGACGATGACAAACTGCCGAGTGTGGTTGATGCATGTAATCGCGAAGTGAAGTCTATAACGGTTTGTACCACCATGTCTAGCTATGGTTGTACGTGTATTGGGAATTCGTTGTTTGCAGATTAACTATTCTCTTTATAGAACCTAATAAAAACTCAGATGTTGAGCCAATAGTAATATGTAAAGAGAAAAGGACCTATACGTTACTAGTTATGACTAACAGTCCACCAAGGTAACGAGATAATATACAGTCAGATAGTGCGACAACGAGGCACAAAACTGACAAGGATATTGAGACATTCAACGACCTGACACCTAGCTCCAACACATCTACAAAGCGCAAACCAACAGCCTTCCAACTTGGAAGGCACAGGTGCGAAAAGTTCCAATGAGGGGAAGCCTCCGAAGGGATGCGCCACGAAGATGTGCACGAGCTATGTTCCTCGACAACAAAGAATGTCGAACGTTACGGAATGATGACGAGACTAGTAAGACCTTTGGACAAACCGGTCTAACTACAGCTCGAAAACGCAAGGCAACAGACGACCCAACTTGTGAGGGTCAAAAGTATGTAAAATACATAAAGAGGGGAAGCCAAGCCGTAGCGTTCGACATTCTTTGTTGGAGAGGGACATAACTCGTGCACATCTTCGTAGCGCATCCCTTCCACTCGTTGGAACTTTCCGCACCTGAATCTTCCAAATTGGAAGGTTGTTGGTCTGCGCTTCGTAGATGTGTTGGAGCTAGGTATCAGGTCGTCGAATGTCTCAATATCCTTGTCAGTTGCGTGCCTTGTTGTTGCACTATCTGTCATGTGTTTATTATCTCGTTACCTTGGTGGACTGTTAGTCATAACTAGTCACTTATAGGTCCTTTTCTCTTCATAGTACCTTATCATAATTGCTCAATGCTGATACAAATGCATGTATATTTTGTTGATACATGTATCTGTGCATGTGGAAGTTTTGCCTGGACTGAATTGATTGATTACAAAGCACTTGTAGTGTCCTTCAGGCTTGGCAATCCTCTATTAAAACAAAGCAGACTGCAGAATCAGAAAGCTAAGTTTAGCCCTAAATATGAGTATGTCCGCGGTATTGTACAGGTCATATCCGACATATGACGCGTGCTCTGAATTGGATGCAGTACTTGGCAGTCAATAAACTCTTTGGGTCCATTCTTTCAGAGATGAAAAAACATCGATGCAAGACTGCCGCTTTAAAGCTTTCTTTAATCTTCCTTTTCGTATTTTTATAGTAGAGAAAAAGGACCGAGAAACTACAAGTTATGCTGTTATGTCCACTAACACCACCAGTTACTAAACAATCAGCTCGTGCGATAACACTGCACGACACTGACCGACGGTACTGACGTTCTACGACTAACTGGCTAACAAATGAATCGTGGTTGGACCATATTGTCCAGTGGTCTTTCCAGTATCGTCATCGACATGTATGAACATCCGCCAACGTCCTTCACAGCTGAGACTTTCAGCTCGTGCTTGTCTTGGTTGCTATCACCTTCCCCTCCCGATATTATTTCTATAACTTAGAACCTTCCAAGTTGGAAGGCTGTTGGAGTGCGCATCCAAGATGTGCTAGAGCTGTTAGCCAGTTAGTTGTAGAACGTCAGTACCGTCGGTCAGTGTCGTGCAATGTTATCGCATGAGCTGATTGCTTAGTAACTGGTGGTGTTAGTGGACATAATAGCGTAACTTGTAGTTTCTTGGTCCTTTTTTTCTTTACTATAAATTTATCCTTGGCCCTCCATCCGAGTCTTTTCTTATTATCTTCTTAAAAGAAGAAAAGGAAGATACTCAAACCTATTGGACTGGTGTAGCCAAGAACTGGAGAAGATTGTAAGGTGAATATTCCTGCAACAAAGTAGTACCAAGAGTAGATAAACAAGAGTGTGCAACTCCGGATCTCTCCTGCACAATCTGCAGATACCCCGCGCCCACGGCGGAATTTTTTGTTTACGTCACCTTTTTTCAGAGAAACGCGGCTTTGCCGCAGAGCAGTGTGAGAGCACGTGCTGGGCACCGACCTTGTAGTGTAAAGCCCAGCCAAGTGCACGAGGGAAAACTCTCCAAAAGGCTCGCAGCGCGTGCGTCGTCGAAAAGATTACGTCAACAAAAAATTCCGCCGTGGGCCAATCCATCCGGAGTTGCACACTCTTGTTTATCTACTCTTGGTAGTACTATAAGAAAAATAACAAAAAGTAACCGCTGCGAGCAGGGTTCGAACCTGCGCGGGGAGACCCCATTAGATTTCAAGTCTAACGCCTTAACCACTCGGCCATCACAGCAAGCAGACATTATGGTCTGGGGATCATCTGTACTTATTGAAGCGTTTTCCCATGTGCCAGACAAGACTGCGGTTCATTCATAAAAAAAGAATCTAAAAGATACTAGCTTTTGGCCATAGATGAGTCAAACTTTGAGTTTTAACTTTTTTTAGAATCTTGTTTTGGCAATCCCCTATGGAATGCTCTTCCAATTATGTTCTAGTGGAGTCTCCAAAAATGCAAATCATAACAAGTAGAATATTTCGGCCAGGTTTCGCTCGAAAAGCACTGAATTGAGAGGACCAAGCCGTTCACTCTACTTGCAACAGTACATTGTGCAGTTTGAACCCAGTTGAACTACGACCCCTTCCGACCCCTTTTCAAGTTTCAAATTTCGCCGCACTGCACCATGTACGAGAAAATCGCCAAAACCGGGAGCGAGCCAGGGCCCATCTTTTTATGAATAGACTGTGTTTGAATGAGTTGTGTACGATACTTCTCTGCTGTGCTACTGTACACACAGGCGTTGCATGCAGCCAACACTGATAGCGATGATGCAAACGACCTCGAGATGGAGGATCCTGTCAGGAACTTGATGATGATGGCGTCCATATTCGAAGAGGGTGGGGTACGTATACATTCAGTCATTGGAGAGAGCATGCTGAAGCCCTCTTAGGCCCTCTGCAGACTACGTACATAGAACATCCAGTACGAAATCACATAAAACCTGAAAGGCAACATTTTTCCACGCCTGCATTCAGACTACACATTTTACATGCAATATACAGGCAACCTTTGACCCTACACAATTGCGCAAGGGGCCTGGGATGCGTGAAAGCAGGCGGCAGTCGTATTCGGGTACAACAGTTTTCATGTTTGTACGACTGCCTGGTGAAAGTACGATAAATGCAGGAAAGTTGCCGTTTACAAGGGTTCGCGCCCTGCCTGAAAGGATTGGGCAGCTTTCTAGGCTTCCCGCCAGATTCTTGTTGTTGTCTTGGAAACTTCTATGTAAATGTGACATATAGGCTGTTTTGTACCTAGTCTGAAGAGGGCCTAAGAATGTGTTTTTCAAAAAAATGTGAAGAAATAAAGTGTGGAATGCAGAAACAATTCTTCTGCATGTTTTCTTCCTGCAGGTTGGCATCGGATTTGAAGAGATGTTTCGCATATTTGTTCACCTGAAAGAGCTTGCTCGCAGCCGCACTAATCTGGAGAAAGTGCGCTTCTGGGGTGAGTGTGAGGCTTTGACTGCTGCTATGTCTAAGCTCAGATAGCTGCAACAGAATGCCAAAACTCACGATGATTGAACTATTATTGTATGAACTTTAAAGGGTTGACATGAATTCAACGATTGGACTCTCTGATGTGAAACTTTCTGCTTGATTACATTGTTTGCTACACTTTCTTTCCTCTGCCCCTCTCTCTCTCTCTCTCTCTCTCTCTCTCTCTCTCTCTCTCTCTCTCTCTCTCTCTCTCTCTCTCTCTCTCTCTCTCTCTCTCTCTCTCTCTCTCTCTCTCTCGCTCTCTCTCGCTCTCTCTCTCTCTCTCTCTCTCTCTCTCTCTCTCTCTCTCTCTCTCTCTCTCTCTCTCTCTCTCTCTCTCTCTCTCTCTCTCTCTCTCTCTCTCTCTCTCTCTCTCCTCTTTTATCTCTTCTTTTCCCATGTCCGTGTGTGCACATGTGTGTATGTGAGAGTGTGTGTGTGTGCGCGCGCGCGTGTGTGTGTGTGCGGATGTGTATGGTGTGTATAATATATATGCAGGAAAGATCTTTGGGCTACAAAATGACTACATCGTAGCCGAGGGTACCATGAAGGATGGAGTGGACGAGGAACCCGAGGAAGACATGAACTCGGTAAAGAATCTATCCATCCCTTACGATGTCCTCCATGCATAATACTACACTGTTGATGGGGCGGTTGATTATGTATAATTATGATCCGTCTCAGTCTTTTTAAAAGTATCTAACATGCCTGTCATGCTTGGAAACTGGTGTTGGAAATGGAAATGTGAATGTAGCTTCCGAGAGACTTTCCGCCTTGTGGTACCTATTTTGGCCCTGTGCCATTTCCTTTAGTTAAATTTCAAATCTTCAGTTTTCCTTGCAGCTGCATTTGTACAGTGCCTGATGTCTGTGCGTGCTGGTGTGTATATACAATGTCTAGGACTCGGGGAAATGTACTACTGTACATATACTTGTACATGCTGTCGCATGCTGTCCTTCCGGTCTCTGTGTTGTACAGTTTCCATCCAAACAGAGCACGGAAGAAGAAGATGAAGAAGCTGCAAATCAAGAAGGTACAGTAGCCCCTCCCTAACTGAACTAGCAGTGCAGTAAGCAGTGCAGTAAGCAGTGCAGTAAGCAGTGCAGTGAGCAGTGCAGTAAGCAGTGCAGTAAGCAGTGCAGTAAGCAGTGCAGTAAGCAGTGCAGTAAGCAGTGCAGTAAGCAGTGCAGTAAGCAGTGCAGTAAGCAGTGCAGTAAGCAGTGCAGTAAGCAGTGCAGTGAGCAGTGCAGTGAGCAGTGCAGTAAGCAGTGCAGTAAGCAGTGCAGTAAGCAGTGCAGTAAGCAGTGCAGTAAGCAGTGCAGTAAGCAGTGCAGTGAGCAGTGCAGTAAGCAGTGCAGTAAGCAGTGCAGTAAGCAGTGCAGTAAGCAGTGCAGTAAGCAGTGCAGTAAGCAGTGCAGTAAGCAGTGCAGTAAGCAGTGCAGTAAGCAGTGCAGTGAGCAGTGCAGTGAGCAGTGCAGTGAGCAGTGCAGTAAGCAGTGCAGTAAGCAGTGCAGTAAGCAGTGCAGTAAGCAGTGCAGTAAGCAGTGCAGTAAGCAGTGCAGTGAGCAGTGCAGTAAGCAGTGCAGTAAGCAGTGCAGTGAGCAGTGCAGTGAGCAGTACAGTAAGCAGTGCAGTAAAGCCTCGTGAATAACAGCCCGGGTATACAGTAACAACAACTCGCAATATCGACACATTCTTCATACCCATATCAGTAGGTCATTTCTTGACTCCATACGTTCATTTTGACTCCATACGTTCATTTTGACTCCATACTTGTACGTTCATCCTCACGAATAGCAACACTTTTCTCCGATGTGCGACTGAAGGTCGTTCTTCGCAAGGTTGACTGTGCACACAGTCCAAACCATTCAGTGCACATGACACATGTATGTGTCACTGTGATTCTGCAGAGACTTTTGTTTTTCTACAAAGTATTGGTATACCCCCCCCCCCCCTCCACACACACACAGACAGACAGACAGACAGACAAACACATGTGCGTAAAGCACATTGCCAAACATGTGAGAACCTCTCCTCATATACTGTATGCTGTACAGAGGATGGTGAAGGTGAGGAAGAGGGAGAAGGCAAGAAGAAGATCAAGGCGCCGGTGATAATACCAGAGGAAGACTTTCGCACTGGCACTAACATGAAAATCTACTATGTCTGCACAGAACGTAAGTCTGGCCCAGATGCACACACTGTATGCTCTGTATTTCTTCCTCTGGTCACAGTGAAACCTCCCTTCCACTGCAGATTTGGGGTATGCATCAAATCAGGATCGAATCAGGAGACATCGCGATACCTTTAAAAGTAGTCTGCATGCGAAAGAGACTTGATTTTCCGGTTTCAGTCTTTCGTTCATCAACGTGTATAGTTCGAATAAAGTTGGGAATGATACCCAAATTCAAATGCAAGGGTAGCCTGTTGCTTGTCAAGTGAACGAATGCCGGCCCCACCCGCACCACCGCCTGCCATAGCAACACCCCCCCCCCCCCCCCCCCAGGACTTTAACTGGGTAACCGGGGGGGCATTGCTTTTCATGAGCAGCATGCCAACAAACTGAGCTACGGCTATGGAACCACACTGAACGGCCAAAAGGAGCCGAACCACCATCTCTCTGCAAGCTGTCAACAGCACGAGTCACGAACTGTGCATACCTTACCAAGGTAACACAGTGGTAACTTTCCTCCCCGGGCCAGCCACGGTCAGTTCTTTCAACTTGTCGGTTGGTGTGACTTCTTGCCATACCTTCTAGCTTGCAGGATCTGACCCTTGATGACGTGTAATGAATTCTGTGTCGTGATCTCTGCAGCTGGTGAGAACTGGATCCGTCTGCCCAATGCCTCGCCGCAATGCATTAGCGTAGCTAGACAGATCAAGAAGTACTTCACTGGAAACCTTTATGCCGAGGTAGGTAATGATGGCCTGGTATAGGCTCTAGGCAGTTCACAGATGACTGGACCAATGCATGGGATACTAGGGAAATAGACCTTTCCTGATACGCACATCTCTGAGCTAGCGGCAAGGCCACGCTACAATCCAGTAGTGGCCTTGATTAAATTCTCCTATCTGTACCTGTAACACCATGCGGCTGTCTATGTTGATATTGTTGCTGCTGCTGCTGCACAGCTTACTTGCTATCCACCGTTCCCAGGCCAGGAGGCCCACTACCTCCGAGCACAGATTGCTCGTATTTCTGCAGGCACTATTCTAAGTCCGGTTGGGTACTACGCAATGCCAGAAGAGGAAGAGGACGACGAAGGTGGAGGTGAGGTGATGACATGGATAGTACTTGGAATCATCTTTGTTGTTGAATCCACAAAGTGTGATACAGAATGTGAAGAACCATTTGAGGGAAAAAATTCATTATAAGTATTGAAAAGGGTTATTGTACCATGCTAGCCGGCTATTATCAAGTCATAGGTGATGAAATAGGTACTACCCAGTTTGAGAAAAACACTTCTGACGTGTTTGCGTGAGTACTTTGCGGCGTTGTGCACAGATGTTCGGACATCTGGCTTCGTTGCATGATAAAAATTTTCTTCATGAAACTCTAATGATACTATTCACAGCTGACCACCCAGCGCCCACCATGATTTCTCCATCTCATCTCCATGCCCGTTTGTGTTCAGTGGTGGGATGGTGCATAACATGCTAACATACTAACATAATTATTTCTATTGTGTTTCCTCCACGATAGCTGCAAACATTCCACTAGAAATCAATGAAGAGTACGAGCCACCGGGCATGGATGACCTTTGCGAGAACTTGCAGAGTTGGGCCCATTCCGTCCGCTACATTCTCCCTCAGGTGAGTATCCCGTTCTAGTGTTCAGGTTTTGTTCCAGCTCTAGCTCTTGCGTGCAGCCATTGGGTATATGTGCCCAGCACTAACAATTGTGCTTCGGTAGACGTGGAGCAGGCGGCTGATCGGTGAATTGGACCATATAACAAATCGCATAATGCCTGTGTATGCATGGTGTGAGCATAATAGCAGTTCGACACGAGAGATCACTGAAAATGCACTCTATACCATCTCCGTTGCTACCTCCTTTCATCCTTCCATCTTTGGGAACAATTTCTGAATTTGCCCATACATTGGCGTGTGCATGCATTGCCGTGTGCATACATTGCCGTGTGCATGCATTGCCTGTGCGTGCATGCATTGCCTGTGTGTGCATGCATTGCCTGTGTGTGCATGCATTGCCTGTGTGTGCATGCATTGTCGTGTGCATGCATTGCCTGTGTGTGCATGCATTGCCGTGTGCATGCATTGCCTGTGTGTGCATGCATGCATTGCCTGTTTGTGCATGCATTGCCTGTTTGTGCATGCATTGCCTGTGTGTGCATGCATTGCCTGTGTGTGCATGCATTGCCTGTGTGTGCATGCATTGCCTGTGTGTACATACATACATACATACATACATACATTCATACATACATGCATACATACATACATGCATACATGCATGCAGGGTCGCTGCACGTGGTACAACCCACTACCAGATGCTGGAGACGACTTTGACGATGAGAACGAAGACGATGAAGACGAGAGGGGAAGTCTGTCGGAAGCTGTCCCACTCGCCCCCGAGTCGGGTCCCGTGATCCTGACTCCAATCGCTGAAGACCGGAGCTCTGCCCCGGTCGAGGCCTGGTCGGTCCGTCGAACAATGAAGCTGTTCCCTCAGTACTCCCATGCCATTGTGTCCTCCAACATCTGGCCCGGGGCATACACGGCTGGCAATACTAAGTAAGTACACAGCTGTACTGAAGTGCTGGGGTATGGCCCTGCCCGACTCGCCCTGGTACTGCACCATACACCCAACTTGCCCCAGTGCGACAGTCCAACCCTGAATATACTGGAGTGGTCTTGGTCACTGGTATCGCTAACACCCCAGTGCAACAGTCCAACCCTGAATATACTGGAGTGGTCTTGGTCACTGGTATCGCTAACAGTTATTGCTATGTACCCGTTTCCAGCTGCGCACCGCCCTGCCCAACTTACCCCGGTACTACAGTCCTACCCCGAATAATATACTACAGCCCTGCCCAACTTACCCCGGTACTACGGTCCTACCCCGAATATACTACAACCCTGCCCAACTTACCCCGGTACTACGGTCCTACCCCGAATATACTACAGCCCTGCCCAACTTACCCCGGTACTACGGTCCTACCCAGAACATCATGACTAGGGGTGAGTAGGTCTTGACCACCTGTGTCACTATTATTAGTACGGGCCTTTTTACAGCCGGGCATCTGGGCATGGCCCTGCCCAACTAACCAAACAGCCACAGCACACACAGTGTCACAGTGACATTGGTGAACACAGGACAGTCTGACTTTGCGAATTGCGTTCGTAACTCTTGGCTTCTGCTTCTCTACTTTTCCCCTCCCTCAGGGATTTTGACAGCATCTATGTTGGGTACGGACATAAGTACGAGGTGGAGCCATTCAGTCCAGCGTTCCCGCCGCATCCAGAGCCCGAGTACCGGCTGGACCCGCAAATCGAGGAGAAAGAGGACCCCACTGTTGAAATGGAGGAGGCTGAAGCAGCAAAGGCCAACGAGGACGACGAAGAAGAGGAAGAGGAGGAGGCAGAAGATGGCGAGGAGGATGGCGGTGATTATGATTAGACCCGGCAATCTCGACGATGAGTATCCACCGAATCAAATTGAGCTATTCTCTCAGCAGGTCCTCTTTACTTATGTTTCTCCGATCAACATAGTTGGTTCTTCTCAATGCAAAATACTGGAAGCTACAAGAAAGAAAAATATGAAGACGTTTCAAGTCATACTGAAAAGAACGAGTATGTTTAAAAGCTAAAAGACGCAAACTGAACACACACTGTACGTCGCCTTCCTCCAAATTTGAGATTATATTTCTCTACATGACCTGTATTTTATTTACATCAAGATTGTTTTAGTCTCCTGATAGGCAATAATGATTATGTCCTGAGCAAAAGATTATGTCAACTTGATGAGTCTTCTGTAACTGTTAGACTACTTGTTTCTTGTCCGTGCTCGTGGGGCCAGGAGTTGGGTGCCCACGTTAGTAGCCAAGCAGCGTATCAATGGCTGGATGTGTTTGTGTACGGCAACATCATATGCCGTTTGTCCAAGCTTGTTGCGAAGGTCGGGGTTGATACCACATCTAACAGCACACACAATCAGGCCAGAAAATTTCAATTTGAGGGATTCATGCAAAACATGGATGGTCATGGTGCTAAATGAAGCTCTCCCCTGTTTTTCTCCAGCACGCACATCCCCTTCCCCCTTGGAAACACCCAAGACCACCATGTCCTTTTTAACCTCCTGAGTCATGAGTGATCTGCCCGTATATATTATAACAATAACAATCTTATTGTTATATTCAGATTTCGCCGTACAGGCAACTGGTGTTGAGCTGTTGTCTCCCCTACATGGGACTAGACTTCTGTTCAATCGAAACCCATCTGTACTAGGAGGTTCCTAAAGGAATAATACACAACCCTGACCCATTAATCTAACTCTCTTCTTCAGACTTCCCATATAATTATTACACCCCCCCCCCCCCCACACACACACACACATAAGCACCAAATGCCTCCTATAGAGGGTGAGCGTGGTGGGTCGCATGGACACAACGCCCCTCGGCATGCATGGCCTTACCTCAAAAGTTCTTCGACGCAAGCAGTCTGGTTGCTTCCCTTCACTATAGCTGCATGTAGTGCTGTGTTGCCACTGTCGTACAGAACCACAGAAGTCACATGACAGCACAAGGGCACTACTAGCATGTTGGACTTTTAAATTATTTTAAAAGCAAAGCTGCAGAAGCATAGGTTCAGTTGGACCCGATTGTATTTCATGGTAGACGGTGGTGCGTACAGGCCCTATTTTTGTGGGGTGGGAGCATTGCAAAGCAGTGGAATTTTGAGAAGACACCGTAGGCAGGTAAACATAGTAACATACAAAATGTTGAGGTACAGGTACATCTTATATCAGCACACAAAGCACAGAAGCCATAATAGTTTCGACTAGGCCTTTCGTACCATTACTTTTCAAGTCGAATACAATGGTGATTAACAAGGTAGAAAGCAAGTCACTCTGGCGGTCAGAGCATTGACAAAATAGCATTTTAAAAGATTGCCAAAGTTCCGGTTATAAGGACTTTCTTGCTACCTTGTTAATCTCCATTGTATTCGACTTGAAGAGTAATGATACGAAAGGCCTAGTCGAAACTATTATGGCTTCTGTGCTTTGTGTGCTGATTTGCCTTCCTCTAACAAAGAATCTACTTCTTATACTCAAGTATAATAATTATGTGGTTTCTGCACCATGACTGACGTAGAACACAGTGGTGTAAAGCGCTAAATATATTTTAATGTTGCTAAGTGCAAAGAAGCGACCTACTTGACATCCTGTTGCTGGATCTTGGCACCAGTATCCACCAGAGCACAGAGGCAGTCAGCGCGACCATTGCTAGCAGCCACTGACAGAGCGGGCAGTGATTGACGATCACGGCAGTTAGGACTAGCACCCTACAAGGCACACGTAAGAGAGTAAATATGATACAAAACGCTTGGCATCCCTTAGTCGCTAAAAGCAACCTACCAGCTGGAGGTGCATAACGTGAGCGCTGACCATAAACGTTGGCAAATGTCCAAAATGGCGTCCTTGAATTTGTGGTCGCGGGTTTAGCGTATCTAAGGTTTGTATTCGCTGCACAAGCCCAACATATCAATCACCCCCTTAGAACCTTAGCTCAGTGACTGTGACCCTCTTTGATGAGCTTCCGTGTAGCAATACAGTATCTACTGGGATGCAATCAACACAGGAAATAACCACAGTCTCAGTTTCAGTTTTGTTGTGTACCGTTGCAACTGGTGTTCCTGGTGTGACTGTATTGCTGACCCAGGTGGTGTGAAGATGGGTTCAATGAGCACCGCTCACTCAGTGACCGTACCAGTTATAGAGTTTGGTTGGGCCCTGCACCAGAGGGAGGGAATCTGACCTCTGCACTTCAAACGTCAGCCAGCAGCAGCAGCAGCAGCAGGTATTCACTTCTGATAGAAGCCAACACACATCCAAACCTGCCAGAGTCGCCCTTGGTGTGCGTGCCGTGATGTGTGAGTTGTGGAGAGAGAGTAACTAACTTTCTACAGAGGGTAATTTTTTTACAAATCAAAAGCACACTCAACACAGTGCTAGTAGCACTGTTTTGCATACAGCATAGTGTGTGGCTGTGTTCCTCGGCTTACCTCCCTGAGTAACTGCAACACGCGATCCTTTGTGCCATCCTGGTCTGCCAGTTCACGAAGCAAGAGACAGTCTTCTGGCTGCATGTCGTTCACAACAAAAGTAATGTATATGAAAAGTGAGCACATGCGCCATGGTGCATTGTGAGCACATGCGCCATGGTGCATTGTGAGCACATGCGCCATGGTGCATTGTGAGCACATGCGCCATGGTGCATTGTGAGCACATGCGCCATGGTGCATTGTGAGCACATGCGCCATGGTGCATTGTGAGCACATGCGCCATGGTGCATTGTGAGCACATGCGCCATGGTGCATTGTGAGCACATGCGCCATGGTGCATTGTGAGCACATGCGCCATGGTGCATTGTGAGCACATGCGCCATGGTGCATTGTGAGCACATGCGCCATGGTGCATTGTGAGCACATGCGCCATGGTGCATTGTGAGCACATGCGCCATGGTGCATTGTGAGCACATGCGCCATGGTGCATTGTGAGCACATGCGCCATGGTGCATTGTGAGCACATGCGGTGCATTTTTGAAGTCAAAGTAGCTGCTCGACCTTACCAATCTCAACTCACTTTGCCTTGCTACGTATGCCTTCACAGACAGAATCAGGACATCTTTCACAGGCACCGGCAATTGCCAATGAGGTGACGAGAATGAAACCACACCTTTACGTCTTCCGCAATTGTGCGTGTGAGATAAACGCTTCTAACCTCAAGTGCATCTAGCTAGTATTAGGGAGTTACACGTGAAGCAAAAGCAACAATTTCCACCCAGGCGGCCAACTTATCAAACATAGCAACTGGAATTAGTCCATTTAGGGGCCATGCCAATGTCAAATCATGAACAGTACCTCCAGTCAGGGCAGAAAAACACCATACATACCGACTGCCGCAGCTTGGTGGTTGTCTTCGCCTTTTTCCTTGTCGGTGCAGCTGCGACCGAAAATGAACGAGTTGACCGTCCTGACACAAAAGATGTACATGGACAGTTGACATGATCTCAGGACAGCACAAAGCAGCAACTGAAGACAACACACCGAACGCACTGTGTCTCGGCCACTTGCACAGCTGATCACTGGGAAGCCATGAAGCAGAGAATTCCTTAGGCAGACCCTGACTTACTTGCAGGAATATTTCGACCCAAGAAAGGTCAGACCCTGATGGAAGACGGGTGGTTTAAGCTTGCATGTATATGCCCAGAATTTGCATGCAGATATCATAATTACGGTACAAGAATGTTGGGAGGATATACACTGATGTAGCCTGAAAGAATAGTTAATGCACGGCCTTTTCCTGGATCAGCCATAGACACAACTGATCATAGTTCGAGACTTTCTAGAGTAAAGATAATCACCACATGCAATCTCACCGACAATGCTCTGTGAAGACTGTGACGTTGTCCCGGTTAAGCGATCATATCCGGACGATGCCAGTAGTAGACCACTTAAACTAGCCCCTGTCAGCGTGGATGATCCATTCAGGAAAGAAACACACGCACACGCATACACACGCATGTGCACACCCACATCCATCCACAGTTAATCGTTTGTAAAGTAGTGCTTAAAAAAGCTTACAGCTAGAATGTAAGAGATGATGTGCAGGCTCTGGAAGGGCGTGCATTAGGCCCTGCGCTATCTCTCGTATGCACAAAGCGAGCTGGCTCACTGGGGTTGGCTGCTAGCCTGTGTAAGTATGCTATTGCTCATGAATGGAGCAGAGTATACTATACCAAGAAGCAAGGCTCACAATCTCTACCCAGAGAGAATCACCGACTTGCCTCATAACTACCAACCCAACGCCATACGAATCGGTGATATATACATGTAAACCTAGCGGAGGCTGGAAGACAGTAGAGACCTTTAGCACTCTGTGGAAGATGAGTACGGGGTGAAACTTGACTTGGGGTAGCCACGGGATGAACAGTCTACCCTCATATGAACAAGACTCTGTACAGAGCTCTTTAGCTCTTCAGCTCTTTGATGAGCGAGTATCTGACCTGTACCTGTCTCGTACTTGCATGGCACACGTTAAAACTAAGTACATCAAAGTACACGCACGCACGCATGCACGCACGCATGCACGCACGCACGCACACACACACATACCTGCAGATGCTGGCCGTGCAGAGCTGCTCGACACCCGAGATGTCGGAGGAGTACCGGACCGAGACATGGCAGATGTTGAGAAAGTGCCATTACGACTGACGCTGCGGCTGCCAGTTTCCGGCTGTTCACAAATTGTTGAAGACCACACAGAACAATGCCGGTGATTCTGACCTGATCACAATGCTCGGAGAAGTTCCGGCCGATTGCTACCTTTTCAAACAATCAAGAACGCTTGTATGCACTGAATTCTACATTAGCATCCCGTGTGACTGTGTCTCAAAGTGACATCCGTTTCTAAGTAGCCGCAAACTCAACTAAACAAACCCATTGCTGGAAAGGGGTGCACACAGTTTGGAATTGGCATAGAGTTTTATGGAATGCATTTTGCCCCACAGTGGCAAGTAAATGTGACCGTGACTCATGCTTACCAAGCTTTTCAGGTCGAATGTGAATGTGAGTGTCAACTCATGGTCCTCTTGCCTGGCTGTGGCAGCCAGTACCTGCAGAATAGCACACAGACAGTGAACAATTGATGGCATGGAGCAATACAGGAACAGGATTATTCGATGGCTTTGACAAATGGGATGCTGTAGATAATGAGCACTGGTAAAAGAAAAAATGCTCCCGGCCAAAGCTTCTAGAAAACGCACATGGAAAACAAGCTACCTTCACCGTGATTCCCGTGCACACGCACCCTTACTCTCTCCCTCTCCATCTCTCTCTCCCTTCCTCTCTCTCTCTCTCTCTCTCTCTCTCTCTCTCTCTCTCTCTCTCTCTCTCTCTCTCTCTCACACACACACACACACACACACACAAACACACACACACACACACACACACACACACACACAGACACACAAATACCAGTCAAAGGACAACAGCATTGAATCCAACCATTTATCCTTGCTATCAAGTACGTACACGTCCCATAAGTGGCTGACCAATGGCACTTTGAAAGTCTGGTGAATTCTGGGAGTATGCTTTGATGTGTGCACAGATGTGATCAGTCTGCTGCCGCCAGTAACCTGGGAATGTACATAGAAGAGTTACACAAAATCATTGGAACATGTCAATCAATCAGTGTATATCAGAGAGCTATTTACTTTCAAAGTTGACTATATGTCGTGAATGCTCTTGCCAAGCAGGCAGGCGTAGTGGGATGGTGCAAGGACCAAGACCATGACATGACATGACCAAAGGGTACCAAGACTAAAGTCCTGCTTGAAAGCGGACGGATATTTTTCCAACCGTGCTGCGACCCACAATTGATTGGGCACTCGATGCCTGGCGCGAGGGTAACATGGATGCAGCAAATGGGATTTTTATATATTTTATGACTCTGTGGTAGGTCTGATCTACCGACTTCCGGGCCCTGCCGGACCTGCCTCTGCACCTTGATCACCAACAGTAGTGGCACTCCTGCAGATGCGGAACAGTCCGTCTGACTAACTCTGATGCGAACAGTGGATCGTATTTCATCGTACAGTCAAACCTCTTCAGGACGAACACTAAGGGAGTGATGGCATTTGTTCACACCAATGGGAGTTCTTGTTATCCATATTTTACACTCAGTGAATACAGGCAGTGATTTATGCGAATACCAGTTCTTCTAAAGCGAAAGTTCGTCTTATCAGAGTTCTTATTAATGACGTTCCAGGGTCACATGATTTGAAAAAGATTCCTGCCAGTGTCGGTGTACGATCGGTGCAAGGAAACAGGACTTTGCTACTGTGACATCACTGACATGCATCCAGAGGAAGTCCCAGAACCTCTAGTGCGATGACAAGATATCCAATTATCCGTACATTGACCAACATTGGACATACCTCGCCCAGGGCTAGTCTGAGTGAGATCCCTTGTGGCACGATCCTGCATCGTCAGGTGAGACATGATCTTCTCCACCTCGGAACCCTTCATGTTTTCAATGGCTTTAGCCGAGGGAAAGAAGAGACCTTCGGTCTGGCAGGCTTGTGTCTTTAACTGGCCCGGCGGCTTCGGTGGCGGAACTATCAGCCAGCTTCCGTCCTATCATGTACATTATTGAGACAGAGGCAAACAGGAACACAGTGGTTAGATGGTATCACCCGTGGCATGGCTCTAACGCAGTGACAAGTGACTGTGCAGCGAATCAGCTGTCCAGGAAAAGCACTCCGGCATCAGCGTCCCACTATATCGTCTACTACACACTGATCCGCAATGGTCTTGACAGACGTTGCCTGGCCATGTAGACTGTGCGCTGAGAGGCTTACCTTCGTCCGCTTCTTCCCACCGTCCACTGATGTTGTAGACGCACCGGGGTCACTGTGGCACAAGAATAACATTGAGGCGGAAACATGCATTGGTCATCCGCTACAGTGCAGCCGGGATCAAGGTAGATTTACCGGTACTGCGGCTCAGTACTTGGTTATATGCTGCACAAGGTGGTAACACACCTGTTCAGTAGAGCCTCTCAATCAAGGGCACCTCCATATTCAGAGCACTTGAAATAGTGAATATTTAATCTTTATTTTAAGCACTATTGAGCACTCACTGCTTAGTTGCTTGGTCTGGCCGTAGTGAAGCACCACAGCTGGTGCAGCAGCGATACTGTGCACTGTTAGAAGCGTTACACAAACTGCACACAACAGCACTGCTTGCCAGGTCAACTACCTGTAGATGACAGAACCATGGGCAGAGAGAGATCAGTGATTACAATGAACTGGTGGGTAGGCTGGTTGGTTGGCTGGTAGGTGGGTTGGCTGTCAGGTTGGTAGGTAGGTCAGTAGGTAGGTGGGTAGATGGGGTGGTTGCTTGGTTGCTTGGTGGATTGTTTGGTGGGTAGGTGAGTTGATTGGTTGGTTGGAGGATTAGTGGTTTGGTTTGTTTGCTGGTGGGCTGGTTGGTTGGTTGGTTACTAGGTTGGTGGGTTGGTTGGTGGGTTAAGTGGTAGGTTCAAAATTTTAGGTAGGTTGGTGGGTGGGTTGGCTAGTGGGTTGGTGGATTGGTTGGAGGATTAGTTGATTGGTGGGTTGGTATATAGGTTGGTGGGTGGGTTGGTTAGTTGGTGGGTTGGTTAGTTGGTGGATCGGTTGGTGAGTTGGTGTTTGTGTACAGTGTGTGTGGCTAGGGATGGGGAGGAGAGGGGAGGGGAGGGGAGAGGAGGGGAGGGGAGGGGATGGAGATGAGATGGGATGAGAGAAGAGGAGAGGGTGGCGTAGGGAAAGGGGAGGGGAAGAGGGGCTACTGTAGAAATGGCAATCTAATGTACCAGGTAATGCTCAAATTGACCTCATACTACCACACCTGTGCAACCTCACAATATGTATTCTGACCTTGTACTTTTCTGGCCCATCACCGGCAAAACAATGGTACATTGTACTGATCACTGGAGCTGCTCACCTTGCCACCGCAGCCATCACAGAAACGTGAGTCAAGTGCTAGCTGGCGATCACATGAATGGCACACAGGAGCTATCTTGGGGCCCGACAGCTCTTCTGGTATGACTTCATCAATAGTTATCTCCTGTCACACACGCATGCATGCCCATGCCGAACACACATGTGGGTCCATGCATGCATACACACACACACACACACACACACACACACACACACACACACACACACACACACACGTACACACACGTACACACACACACGTACACACACACACACACACACACACACACGTACACACACACACACACACACACACACACACACACACACACACACGTACACGTACACACACACACACAGCGATTTGGTACTTACAAGGTGCTGAGCACTATTTATTACCTCCCCTGTTCATCCATGCATTTCCCATGTCACCCATTGACACCTTTCTCCCATCTTGCTTCAGAATTCACTGAAAACTCCAAAAAAGACACTGGCTGACTGGGATGACCATCAAATAGCAACCTCCTTTTAAAGTCCTTTGCCCGTTTCATCACTTGCCATTAGTTACTACCATGTCAGCAAACATTTCATCGGTGCATTAGCATTATTTGCAAACAAAGTCACATCGTCCTTCTTACCCGCGGCACTCCCGTTAGTTCGCTCTCACACGCAACACACACGGACATCTCCGGTGGGTTGGCCATGCCGCAGCCGACGCAGATGATTCGCCTCTGCAGTCGCTTGGCGGCCTGAGGCTGCAGCTGTGGCTGCATGGGCGCGTCGCACACCATACACCGCGGCGCATTCAGCGGTACCATGCTATGACAGTAGAGGCACTTGCCAAGCTAAAATGAATACACACACACACACACAAACACGCCGTGACACACACACACAAGAGAGAGAGAATTGCAGCAACAAAAATTGTGACATGTCCAATAGCTCCCGGCTTCTGCTGTCACGGTCCAAGAGGTGCAATGGTACGCTGTGCTCAGATGCATACTCCAGTGCAGTTAAAAATGAATAAACACAACAAAACTGAGGACCTCCAGACTAGTGAGTCACACTAGGGGTGTAGGCCTGTCTCGCACAGAAGGGACACCTGCCTACACTGGCCTGTCTACCCCTGCATGGGTTAACATATTTTCCGGAGTATAAGCCACCCCCCCCATTTTTGCCATGAAATACAGACATCTACCCTACTTATCATCGTTAATTTGATCATCGGAGTAAAAGCCGCACCCCATTCTTTTGGGTAAATTTTGAGTGTTCAAAGTGCAGCCTATACTCCGGAAAATACAGTGGGCACTAAAGATAGATTTAACTGGAGTGGCAAAATCTGATTCAGCCACTCAAACGACTGACCCTGGCCACACACATGATTTCCTTGTATAGTGGCTGTATGTCACAAAGGCGGTCACTTATCACAGTGGAGAGTTTTCACACAGGTTTTCATTGAAGAAGGTATTA